CACGTGCATGCACATACACACACTTCAGCAGTGCTTATAGGAGGTTAGAGAAGACTGAGAAAAGTTGCATCATAAGATGACCCCCACCCTGATAAGAATGTCAGTGGTCAATTTTTTATTTGTGATTTATTTAATAACACTGTCAGTAGCTCAGACTCCGTAGATATATGTGAAATGATTAATGGTTGAATAATTGGAAAGGATATGGAAAGAACCAATCATGGTATGTTTAAGGTACTGCTAGCCCAGCATTTGTATGGAGGAACTGAGGAGCACCATGAAAAAACCTGTCAGGATAGCTGGTCTCCAGTCTGATATTGAACCTGGGGCCTCCCAAATAAGCAGATCCTGGCTGGCTGGTAGGAAGAGAGTGAATGTCATCCAATTGATCTTCTGTTATGCATGTTAGTATGTGACATGATGATTCTTATGTTGCAGTGAGTCGGACTGGTGGCGAGTGAGACACCTCCAGACAAGAGAAGAAGGGCTAATTCCCTGGAACTTTGTAGCTGAAGAAAAGTCAGTGGAGAGTGAGGAGTGAGTATGCTGAGCAATTTATTTGGGGCCTGGTTATACATGTGCAGTGCATGGGTGAAGGGTTAGAGTTTTGCATTTGCTTTTGCTGCTATATTAAAATTACTTAATAGATGAGCATCTTACTGTATCATTTTTGCCAAACAAATACACAATTCTTTATAACAGAAGTTGTATTAATTGTTAGTTGAAATTACACTCAGTAATTATATTATTCAGATCCGCTGTTGACATTGCTATTTTTTTTTATAGAAAGAAATGTTTTAAGCATATAAACGTATGTGAAGAACTGATGTGTATTTTTGAAATTTAATTTTTCAATAGTGGTGTGGATATTAAATTTGGGCAAATGCACTTTATTGGAGGTAATCTGCTTTTAATTTCAATATGAATATCATTATGTATTTTTATTTCTGTCTGTGTTGCTACTAAGTTTAAAGTAACAAACTTTACTTTATCTCACATCTATTCAAATTAATTATTCCATAATTTGCACTGGCATTGTCAGGTATATGTCACACAGATTAACAGAATTTCTTTAACCATTCATTTACATTTGATTATTATTCTGCAGTTAATACAAGCTTCTGAAGTCTTTTGAAAAAATTATGCCAATGAACTATAGAACTAAATTACTTCCTGACCATTTTTCTGAAAAAGGAGTGTGAATAAAGCTGTTATTACTCTGTACATAATAAACCACAGGCTTGGCCTATCATTCGTGTGTATTTTTTATCATCCATATATCACAGCTTATAAGCCGTCTAGCTGACCATCCTTTGCTCTAGCATACTGCTTAACCATTAAATCTCAATAATACTAACTAAAAATAAGTATTTAAGAAAGCAATATTTTTTGTTTTTGATGACACAGAAAAGGACCATTTTGGCGTAGGATACCCAGAATTTTAAGTGCAGTGAACTAAGAAATGTTATATCAGTGGAAATGCTTACATACCTTTCTTTTCCAACTGCTGTGTAAGTGTTTATTTATGCTAGTGTATTTTTCTGCATGTCCGTAGTTGGTTCTTCATGAAAGTGTCCAGAAAGGAAGCAGAGAAGTTGCTGCTATTCGAAGAGAACACGCGAGGCACATTTCTTGTGCGGCATAGTGAACATAATCCTCAGGGATATTCATTGAGTGTGAAGGACTGGGAAGAAACACGTGGTTATCATGTGAAACACTACAAGATCAAGCCCATGGATAATGGGGGTTATTACATTGCTACGAACCAAACATTTTCTACTCTGCAGGCTCTGGTTCAAGCCTACACTAGTGAGTATTTAGAAACAAATGATCTTTTGGGTATCTTTGTATGGTATGTGACTCATGTCACTGTGCAGTTGGTCATCATATTAAAAACTTTCCCTTTCCTCTATGTTGTATGTATCAGAGATAATTACAGCAGAATCCAATATATTTTGGGTACATTTTAAACTACTAGTGCTAAATTTTTCTCTGAAAACATCAACATGTGAAGCTAGAGTTTTAGTATTTTCTGTCATCTAATTGCATTGCATAATGTACAGAGAATTTTAATTTTGACTGACAATTTCTTTTGCTATCATATGGTTTAAAAAACATTTGTAGAACCACTTGTGTAAATGTGAAAAAATGAGGGAGATTTGTTTATGTATATTGTTAAAATTAGTCATTATAGGTAAACTAAGAAATAGCCTCAGTTAAAGGAGGTGGCTGAAAAGTTATGCCATGCATCTTGACTGATTAATCTTTTCCAGATGGTTGTTCTCTTTTGGTTATTTAAATATATTAATGATGTTATTAAATATATAAGTTATGTTATGTTATGTTATGTTAATGAGTATGATGTTTGGGAATAATAAATTGGAAAGATGTGAAACAAAACAATCATGGCTTATTTTATAGTATTATCTTATTTATCTAGAGGAACTGAAAAAAAACAAACATAAGAAGTCTCTCAGAATGGCTATACTCAGGGTCAAGATTTAATTGTTGGATCTTTCAGATATGTACATATGCTATCAAAGGATCATTAAACACTTTCCTTGCTATTGAACCAATTTAGCCGATGAGGCAGTTTCTGCTAAGCCTGTGATCCTCTGATTGTCAGAGGCTTGTTTTGTGTTGTATATAGTTCAAAAATACTGTGGAAGATGGCAGAACTTGAAAGCTCAGTGCCTCCAATACCAGAGTACATAGTTATGTGATCCTGAACCAGTTCCATCTGATCATCACAGTCTCTCTCCCCAAGTTCAGTCTTAAAGTTAAGTTGTAATGAGATGTTCTTAATGTCCTTCTTTATCTCAAAAGTGGGCATTTTCCAAGAGATGTTTTGACCTGAACACTGTAGGTATTCTTTGTCTTGCCATGCAGCTTCATAAGTTCATTGTTCACACAAAACTAGGTGACCCATATAAAAGTTCCTCATTCTGTACTATCCTAAATTGTTTATTTTCTTCATGCCTCTGATATCCAAATCTTTTTCGGAGCACTTTGTTTTCAAGCGGTCAATTTTGAGGCGTTTGCAAAAGTTTTGTAATACAGGACAAAAGTTTGTTCTTTTTACATACTGGATTAATCCCAAGGTAAAGCATAAGAAAATTAACTCCAAGTTAATGTCGTATCCAGGTTAATGTTTCTAAAATTCAAAGTGAGAAAGTGTAGGAGAGTAGATGTGAAGTTTAATTTCCATCTTCTTTTTCACTGAGATATTAGTGAAAATTGTGTCATCTACTTATTAATTGACACTTCATATTATTATGAAATACCAGATGTGCATGTTACATAAATGACCAAAAATTACTATGAAATGGAAATTTTGTTCATGTACTATCTCTCTGTTCACAGAAAATGCTCTGGGTTTGTGTCATGTGCTAGCAAGACCCTGCACGAAACCCAAACCTCAGATATGGGACCTGTCACCTGACCTTAGGGACCAGTGGGAAATTGATCGCTCAGAGGTACAACTTCTCCGTAAGCTGGGGCAAGGTAACTTCGGGGAAGTATGGTATGGTAAGTAGTACCAGTATAAAAGGTATCTGAGACTTATCACATGATTTGAGTGATGGAAATTTTGTTTCTAGCTGAGTACATTCATTTCCATATTGGTGTTCATGCAAAAAGTTGTATTTTTCTTCACAAAGGGGCAAGCCAGACCACTACATAAATGGTACTGTAACATACAAAAGACATTACAACACTTTTGAAATAGAAATTTTACAGGATGAAACATTGTAAGCACTTTTGTTTGTACAGGGTTAAATGTTTGTTGTAGTGGTGGGTTTATTGTAATGGGAATTAAAAGTTTATTCTGTAATGTGGAACACACATCTACTTTCCAGTTTTGCATCTTTAATTAGAGTCATTGTTAATTTACTGTCAGAGCTAATCAACAGCACATATTGTACACTGGGTAAAGTAATAAATCTAATCAGTAGTATAGATATAAGACATAACATATTTTTTCATGTAATTTGGTTTAACATATACAATATTTAATAGCATTTTAAGTAAAACCTCTCTGTATTTTATATCATGTCTGTCATACAAAGAATTGATATGTCATTTTTCACAGAACTTCTAAAAATTTAATTTCATCTTCATGGGTAAGAACATATTACAGTGATGTGAAACAAAATGAAATCTGTATAAAAATTGTTAGTGTTGATACATCTCCTGCCCCTGGTACCAAATTCAACCAAAATCTGTCATTATTGGAGGTGAAACATGGATGGATTGATGAATGGTCATACATACCTGACCACCATTATGTGTTTATTCATTGGAGTAGAATAAAATTAATTATGAATTGCTTTTCTAGATTGAAAAATTCACAGCATTGGGAGCATATTCTGAAGAAAGGCACAACTTATGTGAGGTTAAATTATGAAAGGATTATGAATGACTGGCTGTGGGCTGAATGTTCAAGGTTTTTGATCCCTGGTAGGGACAGCAACATTTCTCCTTCCCACACATCAGTATCAACTGAGATGCCCACACAGTTACCAATGAGTACTGGGGCCAATTTCCTTTGGGATAAAGCAGCCAAAGCAAGAAGCTGATCACTCAGTTTCTTCTAATTCTGAGGTATAGAAAGCATTGAGACTTACCTCAATGCCACCCAGGTACAGGGGTAAATTAATTTTCATCAGATTTATATGTACTGCCTTTTATACATTACCTGTGCAGGAAAATGGCGAAACAACATCGAGGTTGCCGTGAAAACACTGCGGCAGGGAACGATGTCAACGCAAGCATTCTTGCAGGAAGCTTCAATCATGAAGAAGTTCCGGCATGACCGCCTGGTAGCATTGTTTGCAGTCTGCTCTAAGGAGGAGCCAATCTACATTGTACAAGAATACATGTGCAATGGGAGTCTACTGGAGTTCCTTCGGAATGGACACGGCAAAAATCTGCAGTTTGGGGACTTGGTGTACATAGCAGCTCAGGTATATTTTCATTGCCTGGTGTATACAAATGGTTCTAATAGGCTGTGAAAATTAGTATAAGTTGAGACTAATTTCATGTTTTGTAAACATTTTTGCAATTCATGTGAATAATCTCACTTAGTTCAGTGTGCAGTACGCAATTCATTTAATTCACCCATAGAACAAAGAACCCATGTTAGAAATGCTCACATTTAGCATTCACCAAGTTAATTTCTTTGTTCATTTTCTGTAGATTAGGCAACATGATTTAAAATATGTTTTGTATATAAATAAAATGTTTCAAAAGTTATTTAAAAATATAAAAATAAAGATATTTAGTAAAAACCTATGCTTTAATGAAGGTAGAATACAAAGTTATGGTATAGTTAAGGGAGAAGTTAAAAATTACTGGAATTACTTCTTTTTAGCTGCCTTCCTTGTACTTTGCTTGATAATTTGTTGTTTAAAGAAGACCAGTTCTGTCACATTCGTCACAACTTTTGATATCAATACTTCTATCAGGAGAAATATGTTTGAGAATCGCTAGTCTTCATGTTTTCTATGGAGTTGACATGCAAATGGACAAGAAGTAGAACACAGTTTACATTGAGCAAACAGATGTAACAGAGAAATTGTAGGTCTCTGGATGCCACTTATCACAGCTAACCACCAGTCATTATGCTGATGACTTTAAAACAACTAAGCTGTGTTAATAATATATATATACTTTATAACTTATTTGTTTATTATCTGTTCTGCTGAAGAAAGATATTACATGAACTATACTTACTGAAACTTTTCTCATTGATGGTTCATAGGAGCCTTATTTTGTATCTGTTTGAATTTTAGTTATCAAGGTCGAAACAGAGATGATCCGTTTCAAATATTATGAAAGAGAATCATTCAGTCATTTTAGATCCTGAATATTGTGTTGAGTCATAGTGCCCCCTACTTCATACTCTTGATGTGTGTCCTAGTTTCAAATCATTGTTATATTGATTGCAGGTTGCTAGTGGAATGGAGTATTTGGAGGGAAAACAGCTGATCCACAGAGACCTGGCTGCCAGGAATGTACTGATTGGAGAAAATAATATTGCTAAGATTTGTGACTTTGGGTTGGCTCGAGTAATAGAGGATGATGAGTACTGTCCTCGGCAAGGTAAGTGCAGTATCTGATGAAGAAGGCTGTTGGTTCAATGACAATGCCGACACAGTTAGGCTAAGTAAGTGAATTTCAGCTGGTTTTAATTTGGTGTACTTTTAATGTGTTATAAAGAAAGACAGGTTTATATCTTTGTTGATTGATAAGAAGAGCTTAAGTCAGTAATCATTACATCTGACTTAACTTAGGAATATGAAACTTCGTTTGGGGATTGATTATAAATGTAATACCTTCAAATCTGTGTGTTGAAGGTTAAACACTTATGACTTTCAAAAAATTATCAGATCTAGCTACCACTCTATGCTACTGGAGTTACTGATTTTTATTGTACCACTAAGTAAATCTCATTCTAATGATTTGATTTGTAACATTTACTATAAAGGGGTCTAAAGTAGAGTAGAATTGTCTTTTCAATACAAGAATTCTGTATGAAGCACTTTTTTATCTGATGCTGTGAAACTTTGACATTGTGCACATCAGTATCAACTGAGATGCCCACACAGTTACCAATGAGTACTGGGGCCAATTTCCTTTGGGATAAAGCAGCCAAAGCAAGAAGCTGATCACTCAGTTTCTTCTAATTCTGAGGTATAGAAAGCATTGAGACTTACCTCAATGCCACCCAGGTACAGGGGTAAATTAATTTTCATCAGATTTATATGTACTGCCTTTTATACATTACCTGTGCAGGAAAATGGCGAAACAACATCGAGGTTGCCGTGAAAACACTGCGGCAGGGAACGATGTCAACGCAAGCATTCTTGCAGGAAGCTTCAATCATGAAGAAGTTCCGGCATGACCGCCTGGTAGCATTGTTTGCAGTCTGCTCTAAGGAGGAGCCAATCTACATTGTACAAGAATACATGTGCAATGGGAGTCTACTGGAGTTCCTTCGGAATGGACACGGCAAAAATCTGCAGTTTGGGGACTTGGTGTACATAGCAGCTCAGGTATATTTTCATTGCCTGGTGTATACAAATGGTTCTAATAGGCTGTGAAAATTAGTATAAGTTGAGACTAATTTCATGTTTTGTAAACATTTTTGCAATTCATGTGAATAATCTCACTTAGTTCAGTGTGCAGTACGCAATTCATTTAATTCACCCATAGAACAAAGAACCCATGTTAGAAATGCTCACATTTAGCATTCACCAAGTTAATTTCTTTGTTCATTTTCTGTAGATTAGGCAACATGATTTAAAATATGTTTTGTATATAAATAAAATGTTTCAAAAGTTATTTAAAAATATAAAAATAAAGATATTTAGTAAAAACCTATGCTTTAATGAAGGTAGAATACAAAGTTATGGTATAGTTAAGGGAGAAGTTAAAAATTACTGGAATTACTTCTTTTTAGCTGCCTTCCTTGTACTTTGCTTGATAATTTGTTGTTTAAAGAAGACCAGTTCTGTCACATTCGTCACAACTTTTGATATCAATTCTTCTATCAGGAGAAATATGTTTGAGAATCGCTAGTCTTCATGTTTTCTATGGAGTTGACATGCAAATGGACAAGAAGTAGAACACAGTTTACATTGAGCAAACAGATGTAACAGAGAAATTGTAGGTCTCTGGATGCCACTTATCACAGCTAACCACCAGTCATTATGCTGATGACTTTAAAACAACTAAGCTGTGTTAATAATATATATATACTTTATAACTTATTTGTTTATTATCTGTTCTGCTGAAGAAAGATATTACATGAACTATACTTACTGAAACTTTTCTCATTGATGGTTCATAGGAGCCTTATTTTGTATCTGTTTGAATTTTAGTTATCAAGGTCGAAACAGAGATGATCCGTTTCAAATATTATGAAAGAGAATCATTCAGTCATTTTAGATCCTGAATATTGTGTTGAGTCATAGTGCCCCCTACTTCATACTCTTGATGTGTGTCCTAGTTTCAAATCATTGTTATATTGATTGCAGGTTGCTAGTGGAATGGAGTATTTGGAGGGAAAACAGCTGATCCACAGAGACCTGGCTGCCAGGAATGTACTGATTGGAGAAAATAATATTGCTAAGATTTGTGACTTTGGGTTGGCTCGAGTAATAGAGGATGATGAGTACTGTCCTCGGCAAGGTAAGTGCAGTATCTGATGAAGAAGGCTGTTGGTTCAATGACAATGCCGACACAGTTAGGCTAAGTAAGTGAATTTCAGCTGGTTTTAATTTGGTGTACTTTTAATGTGTTATAAAGAAAGACAGGTTTATATCTTTGTTGATTGATAAGAAGAGCTTAAGTCAGTAATCATTACATCTGACTTAACTTAGGAATATGAAACTTCGTTTGGGGATTGATTATAAATGTAATACCTTCAAATCTGTGTGTTGAAGGTTAAACACTTATGACTTTCAAAAAATTATCAGATCTAGCTACCACTCTATGCTACTGGAGTTACTGATTTTTATTGTACCACTAAGTAAATCTCATTCTAATGATTTGATTTGTAACATTTACTATAAAGGGGTCTAAAGTAGAGTAGAATTGTCTTTTCAATACAAGAATTCTGTATGAAGCACTTTTTTATCTGATGCTGTGAAACTTTGACATTGTGCCTGACAACTTTTTTGGTAGTGGAAATTGTGTATGTCAGTTATGAGTCACGATGTGATTTAAGTTGTGTCTGTGTAGGATCACGGTTTCCAGTGAAATGGACAGCCCCTGAAGCAATAGTGTACTGTCGATTCTCCATCAAATCAGATGTATGGTCTTATGGTATACTGCTCATGGAGCTGTTTACCTATGGACAGGTGCCCTACCCAGGTAAGTCTGCCATTTTGTGACATCAAGAAAGTGAAAGGCTTTACCCTGTCAACAGTACAAAGAGGAAACTTAGGATATATTGCAACATGCAGACTTGTGAGGAGGACTTAAATCTGGGATCCTTACAAGAGTTGTTGAAAATGTGCAGCACTTATTGAAGTTTGTGTTTGTTTGTGTGTGTGAAAGTAACAAAATGTTTTGTCTTGCTGATGATAACTGATGGATTGTAATTTGGCATCTGATGAAAATAATAGTTAACCTACTTTTGAAAGCACCAAACCAAGAGTGGTGCTACGTGTTTTTGTTATATAAGAGTTTCAGAGAAATGCCTTACTGGTGTTGTCAATGTTGGCAGGCATGCATGGACGGGAAGTTATTGACCAAGTAGAAAAGGGATACCGCATGCCCAAACCTGCATCTCATCATATACCAGATGCCATCTATAGGCTGATGCTGCAGTGTTGGGATGCAGACCCAGAGAACAGACCCACATTCGAGTTCCTCAACCACTACTTTGAAGACTTCACCATCACTTCTGAAATACCATATCGAGAAGTGATTGACTAGTGTCATATTCCATTGTTTCATAGTATATTCATAAGTTGAGAACAGTGTTGCCACACCTCTCTACTGAATTTCAGAAAAGTGAAAGATTTTGTTGAGGATTTTTGCAGCCATGCTTGTACTTTGCCATTCTAAGTGGAGTTGATGCATGTGAACATGTCGTTTGGTGTTGCGTGAAGCTTGACCTTCTAAATCTTCATCATATTGAAGGGGAAAGTAAGGAGCAGAGGTACATTACTACACACTGCAAGCCTTACTGTTCATGCTAAGTCATTCCTCCCTTCACTTCTTTCTTGCCCATGCATGTCTCATTCTGCAGCCTGTACCAAGTTTTGTGTCTCACCAAATGATTTATATGAGGGAGGTTCAATAGAAACACTACTTACCAGGAGATCAGTGACAAAGCTTCATGAGCAGCATTTGAAACCCAGTATGCAGTGGAAACATCTGTAGCCCTCCATAAGCAAGTTGTTCCAAGACCTTTATATTTGCTGGCAAGGTAATGGTTACCATTTTAAATCACCAAGGATTCATACTTGTGTGATTTTAATGTTTTGGGCCTCTGAAGAAGGAACTCAAAGTATGATGATTGCAATCAGACACTAT